CCCGCTGCGTATAGTGATTGCCCCAACTTCCTCATTCTCTACAACTTTTACTATCATTACCTGTTGCTGCTTAGGATTTATCTCAGCGTCGCTTAGCAATGCTCCTTGTTATCTTTCTGAGAGTGCTTTTCCTATTTGCCCCATCTGATTTTCCAAATTCTTGATGACAATTCCTTGAATTTGCAAGGTCTTATCCGTTATTTGTATATGTTGTGTAGAGATCTCCACCAATTTAGTAACAAAATTTTCCAATGAAGACTTATTTTTAGCTTGCTGAAAACCTGGCGGTACATTCTGCTGTGGCATAAATTGAGTTCCCTGATTGTTGCTCCATTGAAAACCTAGGTGATTTCTCCAGCCTAGGTAATAGGTGTTAGGATTCTGATTATGTTGCTGTCTTTGAAAATTTTGAGCATAATTTACATCCTCTAGTGATTGAGCAAAAGGACTACCCACGATGCAATCAACACTTTCATGATTTCCTCCACAATGCTTGCATTTTTGTCCGACTATTTGAATGACATTCATCTGATCCACCTTTTTAGCTAAAGCTACCAGCTGTGCTGAGATTGCTGTTAGTGGATCCACCTTATGTATCACAGCTACTTTCTTTACACTTGTTCTTTCAGTAGGCCACAGTGTACTAGTGAATGCTAAATCCTCCATGATTTGATATACTTGATCCACTGTTCTCTTTGTGATGGAACCATCGTATGCGGAGTCAACATTAGCCATGCTTGTCGGATTTAGCACAATGTATAAATATTATACCTGGAGCCATTTTTGCAATCCATGCTGTTGACACTGACGGAATAGCCCCTTGTACCTTTCCCAAGCTTTGTAATAGCACTCCAGTCAAATTGAGAGAATGTGGTGATTTCATCCCTCAACCTGGCAATCCTTTTAGGTGGAAAATATTTGTTCGGGAACTTCTGACTCGGACTATTCCAACTGGTGATGCTGTGTGGAAGAAAATTATCTAACCATTCCCTAGCTGAATCTCTCAAAGTGTAAGGAAAAAGCCTTAGCCGAGTTGCTTCACTTGAAACGCCTGGATAATCGATTGTTGCACACATGTCCGAGAATCTTAAGATATGAGCAATGGGATTTTCAGTAGGTTTCCCAAAAAATTGCAGTGCATTTTGGAACATATTGATCACATCTGTCCTCAAGTGAAAACTTGGTTGACCAAATAACTGATATAGTATGCTGGATTGGCTTTTCACGACCGGTGAAACCATATACTCTCCCATCAACCTTACATTTTCATTGGCTGCAATTTCATTCGGTTGCACTATACCCAGATTAGCCCCGATGGCTATTTGATTCAAATTTTGTTTAGCCACGAGCTCTGATTGCTGTTTTTTGTGTGCTTCTAATTGTTTTCTTCTCCTTGACTTGAACATTTGTTTGATTTCGGATCAAATTGAGCAAGATCTCCTGTTCTCGAACTTTGCATACAAAGTCCTGAAAAGAAAAAATAGAAAACACTGGAGTATTTTTCTAAATTAATGAACTAAACTAAAAAATAAAATTCAAGTTAAAGGTAAATTAGTTAAAACTTATCAAAAACTATATTCCCCGACAACGGCACCAAAAACTTGATCGTTTGATTACCCATAAGTGAACGGGATTGTGAATAAATAATATAGTAGTATATAGAGTGTCGAATCCACAAGAACTATGTGTTTAATCGAGTTAAAGCTAACAATTCCCTTAATCGAATAGCAAAATTGAGTTGTAACTAACACTGTTAAATCTATTAACTAACTCGAAAGCAATGTAAAAATTTATTAAATTTGTGATATGTATTGCTAAGATGTAGAATCTTCCTTACTACTCAATTTTTAGTTCAACAATTTAAATTGTCAATTTGAAATTATGTTTGTTGGTCAATATTCCTATTTTAATTGAAAATATTTCTTGATAATTATCAAATTTATTCCCCTCATGTGACATTCCTATCTCTCGATAAAAGATGCGAATATGATAAATACATTAAACGAGCTAGAATATCTTTAACAACCATGTGAAGCATAGAGGTACATCTCTATCCTCTATTGAACCTTACAATATTTATTATTATGTGCTAACAATCTTATTACCTCTCTCGACGATAATAAAATTCACAAACAATTCAATTAGTGGCCAATTAATTGAAAAACAAACTAATTAATGATAAACATCCAAACATTAAAGCAAATTAACGTCAATTGAATTATTTAAATGAAAGAACTTCATAACAAGGGTTCATCACATCCTAACAATATAAAAATCCAGCTAAGCATGTTGTCAAAATTAAATAAAGAAAGGATAAAAGATATCACCAAAAATTGACGGAACGTGATAAGTTTCACAATTAAAGTTGCCAAAATTGCCTATGCCTTTCTATCTCTTCCTCGACTTTTGTATGTGGCGTGTGTGTGTGTGTGTTCTCCCAAGTGAGCAGCTTTTGTTCACCCCAAAAAGCGTAGCTTTTGTGTATATGTGTCTCTCTTCAATTCTGCATGCATGTGTGTATAAATGTATATCACTCCAGCCAGCAACTCTTTTTATTCTCTCAAACAGCGCAATTTTTTACTCCAAAATCAGCCCCCTTTTTTTTTTTTGCCTTTTCTTCTTGCCTCTTGCAGCTTTCTTTCTTCCAAAAGCAGCCCTTTTTTCGTGTGCGTATGTATATTCTCTTTCAGCAGTCAGACAACCTCCGTTTTCTGTCGTAATGTATATAAACACTTTCCAACCAGCCTAAGTTTGAGCCCAATCAAAAGTTCAATTTAGATTTAACTTGATTTCAGTTAAAAGTCCAATTTAATTCCAAGTAAGAATTCAATTGAGGCCCAATTAATTTAATATTTTCTTCAAGTCATCCAATCCTCCAAGTTAATGCCATGTAATCCTTGAATTCATCAATTGTGTAGACTTTGATCCCCAAAATTTGCATCAATGGCCAATTGATCTTTATTTCTTTTCCAAGTTACTCCAAACGAGTCGAACATTGAAATAAATGAAAATTAACTCAAATTAAAATGGTTTAAATAAGTGCATAAAATGCACTTACCACTATGCAAGAAAGGGAAGCATTTTGCTTTGCACCTCTAAAGTCGTAGTGAGCGTGGTCAAGTGTAACACTGTGAACTTAGCAACTTATAAGCAGGTTGGAACTGAATAAGCCCAAGTTTAAGGTATTCTAATGTCTAATATTGCTAGTATACGTCACACGTGCCTTTGTATTAATTTTGTAAATGTTGCGAGATATTTTTTTATTCAAGTATAGCAATTATAGTTGAATAAAAAATTAAGACTAAAGTTCATGAATTTAACTATTTTGTCATGGTGTTATTTCCATGACCATAGTTTTTCCTTTACAAAATCTACATATTAATTTCTATGATTGTAGTTTTTTGGCGATATTAACGTGAATTGTTCGTATCGAGGTTATGAATGAAATAATTATAGCAGGTTTCTTTGAGGAAACCTCACATTTGAATTTTCGAAGAACTCAATCCCCAAAAAGCATAAAAATTGCCAATTAATTTCTTCATTTCACTCTTTTTTTCGCTATTTAGATGCAGATATATGAAATTACCAACTAATATTTTGAGAAAATAAAGTCACTAACACATATTATGTCAAATAATTAGCAACAATGACTTCATAACTATTTTAGCTAATTCCAATTTAAACAATAAATAAAGAGAAACCCTGCAATTCTAAAATAAAGATATTAGTAAAAAACAACTTTCCTAAAAACTAAAATTATACTTTTAATTATGGTTTAATTGCAATTATGGTTAATCATTTTTAATTGCAATTATGGTTAATTATTAAATATAATGTAATGATTCAAAATATTTTCCATTTAAAGATAATTCTCATTATGAAATCCGAGAATTGAAAAATTTATTGCGATAATGAAGAGACTAAATGTGAAGCGAAAATAAACGATTATAAGTAAATTAATGCTAAAAAATACTATATATTCAAGGTAAATATGGAAGATTATAATGTTAGTAAGGACATTGTCATCCAAAAATATTTCTCCCATCTATTATATTGTTGGCTAAATATATTTACACCATAACTTTTAATTACTAGACTATATTTTAATTGCATAAAAGGTTTATGACATTTACAAATTATCATATTTATATCTCAATTTTTTTGATCTCATTAATATTCTAAAATTAATATAAATTGTTACTAATTATAATTTACCTCCAAAATCTTCTTTAAGATAGAATAAAAACTCATTTATGCATTCTATTTTTAAATAAAAAAACAAATAATGCAACAATGCGATAAATATTTGGCTCTCATTTTAGAGCACGTTAATAATATTTTTGAACGAAAATTATGATTAGGGACAAGATTTTTTTATTAATGAAATAAAGACTAATGACTTTTTAATGCAATTAAAATATGGTGAAAATATAACACTTTTTCGATCGAATCTGTCGCATAGGATTTGTCTAGTGCAATTTATCTGACTGACGTGGTTTGTAGGCTATTACATCAATCCGAGAGTTTACCCAGTGAACATTCGAAGGATAGCGACTGGGGGTTCTCCGTCATAAAAAAAAATGGTGGAAATATAACTTACCACGATTTTGTTTTGTTCACTACATTTTTAAATATTTTTTCTATTTACTAATGTGATCACAAGTAAGACATAAACAACACTAATTTTACTTAATTTTAATTTAAAATAATGAAACGTTTTCAAAGTCATCCATTTGTGGTTCAAAACGACATTGCGACAGAGTCAATTTGTCAACGCAGAAACGGGCCGCCATTTCAGGTAATAAATTAACAAACCAACCGATTATCTTCCCACAGCGCTGCGACAAACTTAAACCTAACCGTCAACTAGTAATCCTCCACGTGTCTACTGATGCTATTCTAAAGGAAAATCCACTGTCAATTCGTCTGTGATCTTTCTAACGTGGAATGTCCGTCACTCTATTCCTACATTCATTCAATAAAACTTCTCTCCCCTCCCTTCCTATTCATGTGTTTCTCTCTCTACAGAGATCTCTCACTTCTCTCTCTTCACAAACAATGTCACTACGACGCTCTTTTCTGGCAAGAAGAATCAATCATCGTTCATTCACACTTTCAAAATCCTTCAAAGAATTCAAATTTTCAGAAAATCGAACAGTTGTTAATTGTAATATTAATGACGATAACGACGAAAAAAAGGGCGAAGAAAACGGCGAATTCAGGCAACAGAACGGCGTCGTTGAAGAATTGGGTCCGAGTGGATCGGGTACTTTGAACCCGGATTCGTGGGCGAATATGCTGCCGGAGATACTGGGAGACATTATACAGAGGGTGGAAGAAAGTGAAGACAAATGGCCGCAACGTCAAAACGTCGTCGCATGCGGCTGTGTTTGCAAGCAGTGGAGAAATGTAACAAAAGACGTAGTGGAGAAGGCCTCTGTTAATCAAGCTGGCAATATCACCTTCCCTCCTTCCCTAAAAAAGGTTCAATTTTTTGGGGTTTCGTTCTTTATTTAATCATGATTTTGAATCTTACTATTGGAATGTGAATGGTTTTTTATTAGATACAAAAAAGATTGAAGATTGGATGTTTTGATGAATTTTATGAATAGAAAGTTTTAAGGATTCGTATTCTGTTGAAGGTTAACTCTTGGCATGGTTTAATGGTATAAAATGATGAGTTTCTCAAAAGTATTCACTACTTTAAGTTTTGTGTAGAGTGTTAGAAGAGACGAAAACTTATCTGTTAGGCAGGACTCGATAATATTCGATGGGATTAATTAAGAAAAACTATTTAAAAATCTTTTCTGTTATCCCGTGCAATACTGTCTTGTATGAGCACTAAATATGTCTGTAGAGATGAATTGGGCAGAATGGCTGTGTTTCTCCACTTTGATAATTTTGGTTTTTGTTTTCCATGTTGTTTTTTAGCATTCCTCATCGTGGTTAAGAACACGTCTCGATGGTAAAATGAATGATTGTGGGATTTTGAGTAGAATCAGTTATGCAGGACTCGACAATATTTGGACCATTTTTCGATTTGTGCGTGTCATCCTTGTACGTTTTTTAATTTGTTTGATAGTTTTGATTTCTGTTTTCCTAGTTATATTTGAGCATTCATATTGTGGTTAAAAGTGCGCGTTTCAATGGTTAAATGAAGTGAGTAGATTTTTATTATGTTCCAAGCTAATACTTTACATACTGCAGCCAGGGCCACGGGACTCTCCGCATCAATGTCTTGTAAAACGTGACAAGAAGAGCGGGACATTTTACCTTTATCTTGCTTTCTCACCTTGTAAGTAAATGTTATTTTGGAAAATTTTGAAGATAATTTGCTAAATGAATGATTGAAATTTGCTGCCTCTACTGTAAACTTACCTCTTTTCTGCTGTTTTATTGGTTTAATGGAACGAAGAATCGCATTTAGCCTTCAGTGTTAAGAGGACCTGCAAAATATTGTCCATCATTAACCTTATCTTGCATGTTATATTGATTTATTGAGGCCCATTTTGGCGATAAAGATGTTTGTGTTTTTACTTCCTAACGTAAACTCATCAAATGTTCCAACCATCTCTATAGGAAAATTGACTCGTTTTTCTCCCATACAACCACTCTTTCTTCTACTGGAACACATTATCTATCACCATTAATATACCAGGCAGTCTCCATCTAAGTGCTTCCTTGTGTGAGGAATGAACATCTCTTCATTATTCATTTCTACCTCCCCAATTCTACCCCCCCCCCCCCCAAACATTGTACATTAATTGACAAATTGAGTATTTGGAGCCTACTTGTTAGTTTAACCATGCCCTTCTAAAGCTACATCTCTTGGCGCACCTTGTGCCAAATTAATAAAACAAAAGGTAAGTTACTTCACTAGCCTTCACAGGTAGTCATCGTTTAGGGTAAAATCTATATAAGGGCTTTGGACACTTCTCTTAGGGCTTGCTTGAGTCCCATTTTAATTGTGATTTTTTTGAGAATATGAGGTTAAAATGTAGGAAAAAATTTCATGTGTAAAATTATTTTATTGGAAGAAGTGTATGAAAATAAGTTTGAAAAAAGTAAGCTTTGAAAGAAAGGGCTCAAATAAGGGCTTAATACAATTAACATTTTAAGATGAAACTCAAAGGTATCAGAGCTGATTGAGCTCAAACTAACAATTTGTTCCATATATAGTTCAAATGAGGATTCAGATTCCTAGATTGGTGTGCTCAAATAAGTCATCATCTTGTGGGGACATGTTTGAGCATGTTAAGGTAAAATCTCATATTGGTATAGTATAAAAACTATTAATCGACAAATAGGGCATGAAACCTCAAATCTGAATAGTATAGTAAACAAAATATTGTTGAATAGCGCAAACACTTACTGTATATATTAAGTGATAATTAAATTCATTTCTACATTTGTCTTTCAATTCTCTAATTCTTTTTCTCGTCTTTCTCTTTACATTTCTACATCAAAAAAGTACATTGATTATGGAATTAAAGACATTAAAACTTTTATGGATTTTTAGCTTAAAGTACAAATTCAATAGATCTCCGTGGTAGTATTTTTCGTCTAACCTCATAGATCCAACCTTTTATGCCCATATATTGTCATGGATTTCCTTTCATTTGGCTCTTTATGATTTTATTGAGATATTATCTCAATATTTTGACAGCATTTCTGGACGAAGGCAAGTTTCTCTTGGCAGCACGAAGATACAGGAACGGTACTCACATTGAGTACATTATATCAATTGATGCAAATGATCTCTCTCAACGAAGTAATTCATATGTTGGGAAATTGAGGTAAGGATTTCAAATCATGCAATGCAAACCAGACCAATGTCTTAACTTCTCTTCGGTGAAATCAAAATATATTTGATCAGTATTTGATGAAATCTATTTTAATCATTTTTCTTTTTGTTGAATAACAAGGGTGCTTTGAGAAATTCCATTTGTGCTGAATATTAAAAAAATAATAATAATCCATTTCCACTTCACAGGTCAGATTTCCTCGGTACTAATTTCACAATCTATGATAGCCAACCACCGCATGGTGGAGCTAAGCCGTTGAGCAGCAGAGTTGATCGCCGTTTATCAAGCAATCAGATAAGTCCCCAAGTTTCAGCTGCTAACTTTGAAATTGGGCAGGTGTCCTATAAGTTCAATCTCTTGAAGTCTAGAGGTCCAAGGAGGATGATCTGCTCAGTTATGTGCCCATCTTCAGATGGAACAACATCAGTCGCCAACTCTCGAGATGATTTGATAATGAAGAGCCCCGAATCCAATGATCCCGGTTACACCATTTTGAAAAACAAAGCTCCAAGGTGGCACGAACAATTGGAGTGTTGGTGCTTGAATTTTCATGGTCGGGTCACTGTTGCATCAGTTAAGAATTTTCAACTGGTAGCGATTGTGGATCAAAGTCGACCTGGTGGAAAGGGCGACGAGGAAACAGTGCTCCTCCAATTCGGGAAGGTTGCAGATGATACTTTCACGATGGATTATAGGCAGCCTCTTTCTGCTTTTCAGGCATTCGCTATCTGCTTAACAAGTTTTGGGACAAAACTGGCTTGTGAGTAACTTATTTCCAAGTTCGCCTGTGCTTAAGATGAGATCCTGCTTTTGCCTTCTTATAGAGGGTATCTGTGTGCTGATTTTTCCAATTTAATGGAAATATGCTATGTACATGCTTATCATTGTATGAATTGTTGCATTATTTCGTTTTGGAAGTGATGATTAAAAAAAATGCACAATTACTGGATTGAGGATTGCTGGCGTGAAATTCTACATATTTAAATGTTTTACTATAATAAACCTGTCATTTTTTATGAACAGCTGATCTGCCATTATGTAAAAAAAATATTTTTATTTTAGATATATTTGAGCCTGTGTCATTTCTATTCAGTCAAGCTTGCGCAGTGGACGTATCCAGGATCCTAGTGAGCATGGGTAGTCTTAAGGATTTAAAAAAAAAAAAAAAAAGGAAATTTTCGGTGGAGCCAGCATGGGCTGCCTCTGAGTGCCTAATGGACAGGTCAATAAAAGTTGGTTCTCAATAAGTGAATCTTGTAGGGAATAACTGAAATGAGGCCGTCTGTACCGGCTCCGCCCGTGGGATCCTTCTCAACCGCTACCAAGTGAATACATGAGAACGAGTGCCTAAACGACAGGTCAATAATGGATGGTTCACGTTCGCAGGTTTCAATAAGTAAAATCAACATTTTATCAGGTATTGTTTAAAAATATTGAAAGAAAAAGCTAATCCCAGAAAACAACAAAGCCTTCTTGCTAATAAATTTGGTGTAACGAAAATCCAATCAATGAGAGGTGAAAAAAGAAGGGGAATACTCTTTTACAATCAACCGACGGCGTAGACCGCTTTTTCATTTTTGCGAGCGGCAGCAGTCCGACCCTTCTTGCGGATCTTAACCGGCCTGCCATATTTATTTCTTTCTTCTGTTTGGTTCATCATATAATGTTTACTTAAACAAAATTTTGTCCTTTGACATGTTTTGTTCTACAGAATCTAATATACAATATTGTTTAGAAGACTTTCGACTTTGAGATTGCTGTTAGGTTCCGTTCAATGGTGGAACTGTCTTTGTTGAGAAGCAGGTTGTCATCTCTCCTACATTTCCTTTGGTTTGGTCGCCTGAGATTTGTCAGGGGAGACACAGGGCATAGATGCTAGACGTCCCAAAGCTCATAGTGTTGTCGGAAGAAGAGAAACTCGCAATGCAGTTGGGCGAGGTGCATGTAGCGAGGAAAACAAGTAGAGGGAGTAATAATAGTGAGTGTTGTTAGAGAGCGATGCTTGAGTAAGTAAACACCGATTTGGAAAATATAACCATCCTGTCTATCCCATGCTTATCAACCAAAAACATAAAACTGCACAATTTTCATTGATACCCGACTTATGAACAGTACGATATGCATCTAGTTTGCAAGAAAATACTGGCTGACAACAATGATATTACTTCCTGCAGAAGAGAAACATAATGGAGAACAAGAGAATGTCGGCAAAAGTTCACTCTCACAACGGATTTCATCCAAATGTCTTCCACCCACTTGAAGCTTTAGAAAAAGCTTCGACTGGATTCAAACGTTGCGTTCATCCCACAGCACTAGCAACATCTGCATAGACGAGCAAGAACAAGGCAATGAAGTATAAAACAAATGTTTACGGGCATAATAACATAAACCTTCTACTCGTCTGAACTTGATAGTCGTGAGCTTCCTGATTATTACATTGACAAATGGTCCATTGTCAGCTCAGAATATTATCTTCCTTTGACTCATCAAGAACAGCACTATCCTTCTGAGAATCTTCTAGTTCGTTTTCAACAACACTGTTCTCTTTGAGAAGCTCCTACACCATGTAACATTGTAATTGGAATTACAGTCGGTCATCATATGACAGAAAGGTTAGCCTTTGAAAACTTTAATCCATATTCCTACATAAAATAAAATAAAATAACAGTAGTAATGCAGTTTATAATGTAGCCAACAGACAACTACTTATCTCGAACTCCTCTCTGAAAACATGTAATGATTCTGAACTACATCTTTATCTTTCTATAAACATAATATGAAACTACATCTTAGCTTTCTATGAACATTATATGGAGGAAAAAAATCTAAGATGAAAAATCCCAAAAGGTATTTTGGTTCAAGTTCCATGAAAGTTGGCCATTTTGATGATTTTCTTCCAGCTTAAGTCAAGTCTTCTCCAAATTCATCTTCTTCTTCAGCTAATTCTTCTTCAACTTCGGCCTCAATTTCCTCTTCTCCTACTTCGTATTCATCCTCGTCAATTTCATAGCTTAAAGGTTGTCTTGTTGGTGGCAGCGAATCAACCACCGCTGTGGAGGACGAGGAGGATGAGGAGGGGATTTGGGAGTGTGACAGTGACAGGGTTCTGCGGCGGTATTTATATCGAATGTCTGAAATTAGTCAAGAAAAATTGTGATTCAAAATCAAGAATAAAAAAAATCAAAATGACTAAATTCAATTTTTTGATAATGGTTTTTGATGTCAAAATAAAAAAAGGAACTGAAATTGTGATTGCCCGTGGTTGTTACCCAAAGATCTGAGAACGTAAAAAACCTATTTGTCAATTGCAGCAGCAGCAAAGCTGCTAGTTGGGAATAAACAAGAACAAGATTTTTAGCAAAACTGGAATTTCATTCAAGTCTATCATCTTTCACGGAGACGGGTTGACATGGCAATGGCACAACTGTCCACCTATATGTACCACCATTTGATTTTCCTCTCCCACCGATGCTTGGAGGTTTTATTAGTGTTGTTACAGTTGAGAATTGCGGTGGTGTTGCTGTGGTGGTTGTGGCCTGCAGAAAACTCTACACCTTGGGATTGAGGAGGGAGGTGGAGGAGGAAGCTGGGGCTGGGCAAGGAAATGCTGGTGGTAGTGGCAGGAAAATTGGCGGTGCAGCAGCGGCAGCAGGGAAATGGGGGTGTGTGTTTAGAGAAGGCAACTTTTTCAAATTAATTTCTTTCTTTTTTTTTCAATTTTTTTTTCCAATTATTTTAAATGGAATGACTTATTGAATGACAAGACACTCGGGGTATTTTACCCTCGAAATTTGTGTATTTAAGGTGCACATACAAAATTTAGCGAAAGGACTATTATTGCACCAAAACCATAGGTTGAAGAGGACGGTGCCAAGAAAAAAAGAATTGGACTGATTTTGCCCATACCCCTTAGGTTGGGGACAATGTGTGCAAATTTCCCAAAAATATAGTAAAATAGCATTATGTACTTCACTACTATATTTTTCTGATTTCCTTATATTACTCCCATAATAGTTTTGAGTATAGGATGTTTGACACTATAAATAAGATCTCTCTTTGTTGTTCATGAACAGAAAAGTTATACCGACTTTCCCATGTTCCTTTCTCAATTATATTCAGTCCATAACATCCATCTTTACAATTCATAGGCACCGCTAGCTATTTTTAATGATTCCTTTCACGTGATTAGGATGCCCGTGGAAAACAGCAAGCTGAGTTCTTTGCATGAAATGACATGAGTAATCCTCAGTATATTGTAGATTATCTGCTAGAGTCCTTTAAAAAGATAGGCTATTAAATATTAAGCTCCTTAACCATTGATCACCAAAAAACAAAGCTAAAGAACAGGAAAACCATTCTACCCAAGATAAAACATAAATGGAAGAATAAGGGAGTAAGAATCTCACCTCAGTAGCCCCCTCTGCAGGCTTATCAACATTATTTGCAACTACCCAGTCAAGATCTTCCACAGGCTCGTCCGCATTACCTGCAATCACCTTGAAAAGGTCTTTCACAGGCTCATCCACTTTATCAGCAACCACCTTGCCAAGATCTTCCTTTTCATTGGCATTGGGAGATGTCAAAGAATTCTGACACAGATAGAAAATTAGTCAAATACAGCACATAACTCACTCATAAGGACCATAACACTCTTGAAATACAGTCACAAGTTAGAATGCAAATACAGCACACACTTGAAAATAGTCTAAAAAGCCTCCAACTTTACATACCATGTTTTGTTGGCCTTCATCCGGAAAAGGTTCGGGAGCTATAGATCCTCCTGGGACAATTTCGCCATTGTTGACAAGGACAATTGAACTATAGTCACCATTATTAAAATTCCCCTGCAAAGTTTCAAAGTAATTTATTCAAATGAAACAACTTTACAACCATTTCAAAATGCATCATCTATAGGAAGCCTAATGTACCTGCACTTCAACTGATTTATCTGCCAAGGACGAAACAATGGAAGGAAGTCTATTAATGTCCCAACCAAGAATCTTGCAAATGGCCTGAGAATAGGCCCTGTGGGCGTGCTTCTTTATCCTAGCTACGGTAATAGAATGCTGCACAAGCGCCACACAATTCTTAAACCTCTTGCAAGTCTTCTTGCCGCCTACTGCACCACACACCAAACAAATGAACTCGCCATTTGCGTAATTCTTCTTGTAATATTCCCTCAACTCAACGTCCTCCATGTACAACTTGACGAAGAAGCTATACCCAACAGGCCCATCATCATCCCCCATCAAATCATCATCCCCGTCGCTACTATCAATGACATCACCGTCGTCGTCAATATATTTGGATCTGATAAACTCAGTTACAGCCCCCAAAGCCTTCTGGTGGGCTTGTTTAGCCCAAAATATCTCCTGTGCTCCGGGGGAAATTAAATTAGGTGTTTGATTGGAAGGTGTTTCGAAAGGAACCCAGTCGGCTGTGGGTGCCGGAGGTGAGGCGCATGGCCATTCGGTCCCGGCGGAAGGTTTAGATTCTGGGTTAGGGCTTTTCAGCTTCTGTTTGTTTTTTCGGCCTCTTCTGCGTCTGGGTTTTTTCTCCTTCTTGAATTGTGTGGTACTGGAAGGGTGAAGGCTGTCCGGGGCGGGGGCGGGGGCGGGGACGGGAGAGGCTGGGGCAGGTCTAGGTGGGCCCCGGTGCCAGAGAGAATGGAGATAAGTTACCTCATCTCTGAGAATTTGTTCGTAATGTGGATCCATGGGATCGGTAGCCATAGAAGGGTTTTCAAGCTGTAAAATTTCATAGGTTTTCTGAAAGAGGGAACGTTTGTAGAAGACCGGTTAAATAACAATGGAGTTCCACATCTTTGATGAATGTGATAATTGAGTTCTCAACCAATCAAACATAGCATTTGAGTCTCTTGAGTTTCAAAATCGTGCAAGGATGGTCATTGTCTAATCGAAACCATTAATTTAAACGTTCAAAAGTCAGTCTATACATAAAAGATATGGTCGTGCCCATGTTTTCAATCGGTTGTACTATATAGACAAAACACTTATCGAATTATTTATTTACAAACAAATAATGTGACGAGATATGATTAAATAAAAATTTTATAAACCAATTAAAAAAATAAAACGTTCCACACTCTTTTTGACATCTCACCAATCTATTAAAAATTTTGTAAATGATAACATACAACAATCATTTTCCATTTCCTACTGATTCGAGGGATGGGTAGTTCATCAATTTTTCTTCACTCATTTGGCAATGCCTTTTCCTCCAAATAATTTTTTCTCGTGTCTCATAGCTATTGAAATCGACAGTTTTATGATTGAGAAAAAAACACAAGGAGAAAAAGTAATAAACTGTTATCCGTTCCATTAAAAATAGATTTATTTTCTTTTTTTGTTTATCCCAAATTATATTTAGGTATTGTTAGGTGGGAATTAAAATTAGATTTTTTAATAAATTTTAATAAAAATTGATGAAAATATAATTTAAAAGTTGTGAATCCCATAAATTATACTCCCCCCATCCCATTTATATAGGTTTGGTGTCCTTATTTTCTTGTTCCAAATATATAATCTTGTTTCTTAATTTACAATATTTTGTTTTGTTCTTTTATTAATACACTCTTATTTAATTTGTCTAGTTACAATCAATTTTCCTACTTAATTTGCTTACTTCTTGAAATCATTCAAATACATTCATATTTTCCAATAATTTGCTTGCTTCTTGAAATTAATTTTCAAATTTTTTATTAATTTCAACAATAATTTACTACTAATTGTTGAAAATTAAATAGGCGTAAATTAAAAAATTCCTTGGCAAAAATTACATTTTCAATAAGGGTCCGTTTGATTGCAAAGATGGAATTGAATTGAATTGTCTACAAATTGTTTTCTTGGAAATTGTAAATTATTGTGTTTGATTGGTATAATTTTTCAAGTGGAAAATGTTGAAATAAAAGTATTTTTTGGTATTCGTTTGTCTTTGTTTTACATAAAAATTATCAATTAAAGGGATAGATTTTACTGGTATTGGGGATTAAATTTGTTTTCGTTACCAACAAAAAAAATTCAAGAAAATCATCTACCTTTTAGTGTTTGTTTGACTTTGTTTTACATGAAAATTATCAATTAAAGGAAAATATTTTTTTATAATTATTCTTAGAATTTGTTTCCATCGTAACAAAAAATAAATAAATAAATAAACAAAAATCAAAAATTGCAAAAGTAATCCGGGCATTTTCCTCAAAAAGAAGGAAAATGTCTATGTAGCATTAAAAGGTGGAAAATGAATTCTAATGAAATTTTTGGCAATCAAACATCAAAAAAATGAAAAGATGGAATTGCAATTCCATTTTCCATAGAATTTCCTACCTATCAAACACGCCATAACATTAATAAGATTTCTTAGCCCTTGTTTGAGCCCTATTTTTTTTGGGAAGAATGAATTTTTGAACAGTGTATTGATAGGATATGTATGATTTAAATAATGTCAAAACATTGTTAAACTCAAACAAGAGTTACTTTGTAAAAAGGCAAAATAAGCCCATATATAAATGGGATGGAGGCTATGCCGTTACTTGATTTAATTTTAGTGGAAATTACACAAAACCATACATTAACTATTCAAAATTCCTAAATAAGATTGGAACTTTGATATTTCAAAAATCAGATTTTTGTATTAACTATTTAAATAAAATAATTACAAAAAAAACCCTAATCACTCCCAATCGTCTTCATCCCCTCTCTTTCTCTCTCTCTCTCTCACACCTCCATTCTGCCCACCAACCCTCATTCGACTACTATTCTCGCCAATTCCGCGTCTCATGTGGTTGGCGACATACGGCGAAGGCGAGGACGAATTCGGGAAAGAATTTCCCAGAATCGAAGCCAATTCCAACATCACGTGGTGCGTAACTCGTGATCCGGTATGGTGGTGTTGGTTGTAGGAATCGTGCTGGTGGTGGCACTGGTGGTGGATGGCAGTAGTAGTGATTTTTGTGGTCATGTATCCGCCATGGTTTTGGATGTGATGCTTGTCACGATGGTGAGCCGCAACCAACCACCACCGACGAAGGCGATCCACACTCAAACCACCAGAGGGCGAGCGCTACGCATGACGGCGCTGACATGATTACACACATCCAACAGCCTTTGATTCTGGTGATGGCGATTTTGAGAATCTGATTTGTTGGTGGTGCTTGGGTGGCTATGGCGGCGATTTGTTGGATTTGTGGATGGCGGTTGTTTTGTTGGTGGTGGATTCTCGATGGCGAGTTTGTTGGATTTTGTTAGTGGCGATGGGGGTGATGGTGGTTTTGTTCGTGTGGGTTGTGGTGTGTGATGTGGGTGAGATGGTGCGTTGTGGTGGCTTCGGCGACGACGGTGGCTTTATTGTGGTGGCTCCACTCTGGCGGTGGTGTGGCAGTGGTGTGTGTGGTGTGGCGATGTTGCTATAGGGGTGTGTGTGGTGTGGTGTGGCAGTGTGTGTGGCGGTGGTTGTGGCGATCATGGCGGTTTGGTTGATGTTGTGACAAATAATTAGACCCATGACCTAAAAATTGTGATTGTAACTCACAATTTGGAGTTACAGTTGATCATAGTTGTTTTGTGAATATGTCACACATTATTTTGTTGATTTATGACTCACAATTGGATACGCGGTCTGAAAATTGTGATTGTGACTCACAATTAGATACGTGACCTGAAAATTGTGACTATGAATCGTAAGTGTTGGTGGTGATCACAAATTATTTGGTTGACTGTGACTATTAAATTGGTTGAGTTGTGACTAATAAATAATATGTGATCAATGAAAAAGATAAATTGTGATCGAAAAATAATGTGTGACCAATAAAAAAGATAAATTGTGATCGAAAAATAATGTGTGACATAAAAAATTATTAATCTGTGACTGATAATTTGACAATTTGTGACTATATAATAAGTCGTGACTTGTAATATTTGTGATTTGTGACCAATAAATAAATCGTGACTTATAAAATTTTCAATTTGTGATTGATGAACAAATTGTGATCTATAAAAATTTTGAATTGTGATCGTAAAATAAATTATGACATAAAATTTCTAATTTGTGACTAAAAAATAATAAGTGATGAATTAAATCTTTAATTTATGATCAAATTATATAAATCTGTGACTTAAATATATTTTATTACTAAAATAAATAAATAATTAATTAAATTATAAATAATTTTTAATAAAAATATAATTTTAAAAATTTAAAATTTATTTTTTATTTTTGAAATGTGCCATAATTAATCTATTATTTATGAAATTTTCTCTTAATTTTAACTTGTAGTACAAAGTGCTGTTTGAATTCCAATGACCAATGCTGATGTCTCCAATTTTTTCCTTCATTAAAATCGCCCATGTCCATAAGCCCAGAAATTTAAACCCTAATCTCAAATTTTTATACAAAAAAACTCTAAGCCATATTTCTACTCGCTTCCATCTATGCACTGTTTCAGTAGCAATGTCGTCAGCTTCCGTTAAAATAGTGGCGGAGTATGCGAAATCAGGCAGGTCTTCGTGTAAAAAATGCTCGAAAAGCATCGCTTCTAGTTCGCTGAGGCTGGGATTGGTCAGCAAAGATCCCCGAGGCTTTGATATGACCAAGTGGCATCACTTTAATTGCTTTCCATTTACTGATTCTAATGCCATTTCCTCCGCTGAAGCCATCACAGGTTTCTCATCCCTCAAGGTAAAACATTTCCAATTTTTTGGTAGGGAACTCTGTTTTCCTGAACACGAAGCTAACCTTGTCGTTGCATGGGTATTTCTTAGGGAACTTTTTCATATTTTTTATTTTTATTTTTTAGATTTTCACCCTTTTTGTCCTTTTAATCTGTGAGCACGCTTAAAGCTGAAAAGGTGGGTTTTGAAGAATTTTACCGTATGCTTTCTTTCTTTGTTTTTTGGGGCGGGGGGTGGCAAAGGGAGGTTCTAATTTTGTTATATTATTGCCCACAAATGAGGTTTTTGCTCCTTTTGTCCTTCATTTTATCTAGTATGGAAATGCAGACCAGTGATCAGGAGGCTCTAAAGAAGTTAGCCAATGAAGGAGCTCAGACTTCGATGAAGGTATGACTGTTGTAGAGAAAAGGCCAAATTTGACTTCTTGTGAATAATTATTATGAATGTTGGAAAATTAATGCAAAAGAGAAGGAGTAATGAAAGAACAACGTAGGGAAGAATATAGAATAAACAATGAGGGCTTGAACACGAAATTAATCTCATTGTTCTCAAACGTTATTTCCCTCCTTTCCAATGCTTTTTAAGGATTTTCAACAAATAGTTTGTAGGAGAACACCAAAAAGCAAAGGTGTATCTTCACAATGAACAAGTGAAATAATGGAAGAATTATGTGATAAATTTTCTCAATATTGGAAGTATAATTTGGGAATAAATTTCAATGGAACTCAATTAAAGTTTCTTGCACTTGGATCACCTATTTATAGGCCTTGGCAAGTTCCCACAATTTTCAACAATTCCCCACTTATTCAAAATCTATTTTAATCACATAATCAAATATCAATACTTATGCATAAGAATTAAATATCTTTCGATTTGAATTTATTCATAGTGTAAATCTCATAAAGTATTATCAGAATTCCAGGTGGCTAGTGTGCTTTGAACCAATTATTCTTTGTGACAATACTGATGAAGTCACACACACAAGTTTTAAGCTTTTCACTAGTTCTTCTAACTCGTTTAGTGCTAATATGGCTTTGCACTAATCCTATTTCATTGAAGTTTTAAAGAGAGAAAACTCCAACTCTCTAATGAAGTGGCACCACCTCGAAGTTCACATATGTGAAGTTTTTCCAGTATCTTTATTACTTTTATGGACACTTGTACTCCGTACTGAATTTCATTAAGAGTTTATTTTAACTCATCCCTTCAACAATAACAACCAACACTATTTTCCAAAGATAGTATTAGATTTTTTTAAATAATGTTGAATCCATCCACTTATCGAATAACTTGTTGTTACCTCTTGAACATATATACATACATACTAGTTTAGTATATTTTGGTGAGGTTGTAGTTATTGGTGGACCTATTTGAGGAGTTTTAATCCCATTTTACTTGATGTTGATCTCACTAACTCTTTTGTGAAAGGTTTTGTAAATGGATCGGCTAAGTTCTCACTAGACTTAACAAATGTAAGAGAAATTACTCTATGTTTGATTAATTTCCTTATATACTCGTGTCTTAAACTCATGTTTATAGACTTTCTATTGTATACTTCGTTTTATGCTCGAGCTAGGGTGGCTTGATTATCACACAAGATAGGTATAGAAGAAATATCCTTTATATCTAAAGGTATTTCATATAATAAATCTTTTAGCCACTCAGCTTCTTTCCCGGTTTTGGCCAATGCTACAAACTTCGATTCCATAGTTGAATGAGTAATACAAGTTTGTTTCTTGACTTCCAAGAAACTGCACCTCCTCCGAGAGTGAATATTCAACCTGAAGTAGATTTATTTTCTCCTACACTCGATATCCAACTTGCGTCGGTATATCCTTCCAAGATTTTAGGAAATTTCGTATATTGTAGCTCAAGATTTTTGATTTTCTTTAGGTAACCAAGAACCTTACGAATAGCCTTCCAATGTTCTAAACTTGGATTGCTAGTAAAGTTACTTAGTTTACTCGTAGTAAATGCTACATCAGGTGCTGCACATTGTGATGCGTACATGAGACTTCCAATTGCACTTGCGTATTCTATTTGTGCAAGTGCTCTATAGGAGTGTTAGCCTCCTTAATATTTAAATGTTTGAATTTGTTTATCATACTCTCAACATAGTGTGATTGGCTTCATTAAAACCCCCACTATCCTTTTTAATTTTGATACCAAGGATAGTATCAACTTCTCCAAGATCCTTCATTTTGAAAGTAGAGGATAGAAGCAATTTTGTTTCTTTGATCCCGTCTATATTATTGCTAATGATTAGCATATCATCAATATATAGACATACTAATGTGAATATATTATCATTCACTTTCGTGTAAAGGCATTTATCTACCGAATTGTGATTAAATCCATTTGACATTATTTTAGAGTCAAATTTCTCATGCCACTTTTTGGGAGCTTGCTTTAGTTCATATAAGAATTTAATTAATTTGCACACCTTATGTTCATTTCTCGGTAGAACGAACCCTTCTGGTTGTTCCATATAAACCTCTTCTTCGAGATCTCCATTTAGGAACGCCGTCTTGACGTTTATTTGATGAACATGTAAATCATAATTAGATGCTAACGCAAATAAAATCCTGATTGAGGTTATCCTAGCTACGGGTGCATATGTGTCAAAGTAATCAATTCCTTTTCTTTGACGATACCCTTTAGCCACTAATCTAGTCTTGTAGGTATTAAGAGATTCATCGGAATTGTATTTCTTCCTGAACGCTCATTTGCAACCAATAGCCTTAGATCCTGTTGGCAAGTCAACTATTTTCCAAGTGTTATTTGAAATAATAGAATCCATTTCGTTGTTTATGGCTTCTTTCCAAAACATGCAATCTCTAAATTGCACCGCTTCCTTATAAGTTTTAGGATCACTTTCCACTTGAAGAACAAAGGGAATTGTTCTTACAACATCCTTCCTATCTTCTTCTACTAAGTAAAAAGAAATAAGTTGGGGATCTATTTCATCTGATCCTAAGTTCTTTTCTTTTCTAATTTTTTTACTTCTTCGAGGTTCGATTTCAACATCTTTTATGGATGTCTCTTTTGGTGAGCTTCTAAAGATTGAAATATCCTTATTATCATTTTTAGATTTCCTAGCCACTTTTATATCCTCGAAGAATTCCACATCTCTTGATTTTATTATAACATGTTTCTAGATTTAATAATCTATAAGCTTTGCTATTGAGAGCATATCCCACAAAAGCACATTTGATACCTCTAGGACCAACTTGGTTCTCTTAGGATCCATATTCTTATAATAGGCAAGGTACCCCCACACTTTAAGATAACTAATACTTGGTTTTCTATTTTTCCAAATTTCATATGGAGAAATTTTATTCTTTTTCATAGGAATCCTATTTGTTATATGGCAAGCACTAAGTAAGGCTTCATCCCATAGGTTAAAGGGTGATTCAGAATTTAACAACATTGCATTTATCATTTCTAAAAGAGTTCTATTCTTTCTTTCTGCTAATCCATTTTGTTCCGGTGTTCTAGGTGCAGAAGTTTGATGTATTATTCCATTTTGTTCATAAAACATGTTAAATTCATGAGAAAAATATTCTCCAATTCTATCACTTCTTAAAGTCTTTAATTTCCTTCCTGATTGATTTTCAACTTCAATCTTATAAATCTTAAAGGCGCTAAAGGCTTCATCCTTATGTTTTAATAAGTACACATAGGTATATCTAGAACAATCATCAATAAAAGTAATAAAATATCTATTACTGCCTCTAGTTAACATTCCATTCAATTCACATATATCGGAATGAACAAGTTCAAGTAATCTTGTTGTTCTTACTATGCTAAGAAATGGCTTCTTAATCATTTTTTATTTAACACATATTTCATATTTTTCCAAGTTGTCAATATCACATTGTATTAATCTACATTTAATTATTCTTTTCATAGTATTAACTCCTATATGTGCTAATCTACCATGCCATAAATTAAATGAATCAGTAATATACACAAAAGATTTAATTTTATTAGAGTTATCCTTAATAGTACATATTTTGACCATTCCTTCGGTGGAATAGCCCTTTCCAACAAAGTGCTCATTATGGATTAATACAAACTTTCCAGATTCAAAAATAGATTTAATGTCAGGTCTTTCCAAGAGTACACCACTTGCTAAGTTTCTATTCATTTCCGGTACATGTAAGACATTTGTCAAAATGATTTTCTTTCTCGAAGAGAAAATGAGTTCCACATTTCCTTTGTCAATCACTTTTGATCTTCTTTCATTTTCGATCTGTATCTCTGGATTGTCTTCAATGTCATGATAGGTTTTGAAAAGAGACTTATCATAACATACATGAATTGTAACGCATGTATCGTACCACCAGCCCGAAACTTTGCCTTGGATTGCATTGATTTCGCTCACCGTGGCAATAATCTCATCAACGGAGTTTACTTGTCCTTTCTTTGTTTGTTGTTTCCTATGTCTACAATTTTTGGCATAGTGTCCCGATTTTCCACAAACATAGCAAGGTTCTTTGACTTTGTTTTTGAACTTTCCTTGATCCTTTTTAGGACCAAGAAATTTTCTTTTCTTTTTAAATTTGTTGGAGTTGTCCACATTGTCCATGGCATTAGAATTTTCAATCTTATCTCTTGCCCTTGATTCTTTCTCAATACGAAGATATTTTTGTATATCTTCCAAAGAAAGGTCTTCGGAATCGTGAAGAATCTTCTTCTTATATCCTTTCCAAGAACCAGGAAGTTTAGCAATAATTGCTCCCACTTGAAAAGTTTCGGGAAGTTCGATTTTCACCGCTTTCAGTTTGTTTACAATTATTTGTAACTCATGTACTTGGGGCAATAACGGTATATTTTCCACAAATTTGAAATCAAAATACTTAGATATTAATAACTTTTTGGTACCTTTCTCCTCGACTTTGTATTTGCTTTTTAGCGCGTACCAGATTTCTTTTGCCGATGTAGTGTTGGTGTAGAGATCATAGAGACGATTGGATAATGCATTTAGGATATGGCCACGATATATCAATTCGTCCTCTTCTCGTTTCTTCCTTTCAACTCGAATTTCCTCGGTATCATTGTCAGTTGCATCGGGAATGTGCTCCAATTTTGGATCAAGCACATAGAAGATTTTCAAAGCTGTTAATAGAAATTTAAGTTTGTCTTGCCATCTTGTGAAATTTGCTCCATCGAATCTGTCCAAGCGTACCAAGTCTTGATTCATCATTTTGATAGTAGCAAATGTAAATTCCGTCTCCATTGCAATAATAGTAACAAATAGTGTTTGAGATTGTTGGAAAGTTAATGCAAAAAAGAAGGAGAAATAAAAGAACAACAAAGTGAAGAATATAGAATAAACAACGAGGGCTTGAACACGAAATTAATCTCGCTGTTCTCAAATGTTATTTGCCTCCTTTCTAATGTTTTTTTAGGATTTCCGGCAAATAGTTTGTAGGATTAAATAAGCCTTGAAAAGAATAACACGAAAAAGCAAAGGTGTATCTTCATAATGAACAAGTGAAATAATGGAAGAATTTTGTGAAATTTTTTCTCAATATTGGAAGTATAATTTGGGAATAAATTTCAATGGAACTTAATTAAATTTTCTTGCACTTGAATCATCTATTTATAGGTCTTGACAAGTTCCCACGAAATGGTGCAAGAAACAGGTGAAAAGTCACCAAATTTGAATGAAAAATGGTAAAAAAACTAACCTAACGGTTAGTTATTTATAACCAGCCATGCGGTTGCATAGTTATAGCCCTCCCATTCTCGGGAGGGCCTCATGCGACTGCATGGGCTTAATCCATACGGTCGCATGGTTAAGAACCTTTTTTGTTTTTTTTGTGGGAACAACGAACAAATAAATTTTCAACAACGAAATCCGTAAACTGCTTGATTTGCAGTCATCAATTGGGTGTGGTACTGAATCAGTAACCAGTTGAGGATGAACAATTCTTTGACTTGGTTTCTTCTGCTGGTTTACAAAAGTTGTGGTGAGTTAAAATATGCTACTCTTTGTTTCTTGACTCTGGTTGATTAATTTATCCATATGCAGATGGAAGGGTGACTAAATCTTTCTGTATGATGCTTGCCTTGAGCGTGTATCTTCTGTGCATTTTTGGTGCATATGTTGGGTTCTGTAGCTTGTTATGCTTTGCAGTAACTTTTAGCTTGTGATTGGCTATAGAAAGATATACACAAGGTATTTAAGCATACTTACATACATATGCAATAAGAGACACAAACATGCATTTAATATGCACAGGATGTGATACATTGAAATTTGTTGATCTTATAAATGAATGAAGATCCTTCACTGTATATACTATAAAGACCGTTAACTTACTTGCATAACCTTCACATACAAATTAACTCGGCATGCTTGTACAATACTTAGATTCGTAAATGTGGATTCAGATGCTTTATGATTTTTTATATTGCAACTTGGCTGAAGATTCGTTGTTAGACAATTTGTTATCTGGTTTGCATGGCACTAAGGCCAAAGCTGAATGAAACCTTCAAATTTGTGCGCGCACGCACACTATCACATGTTAAACAATTAAATTTTTTATTTTGTCTTTGGATTGATCTAGTGTTAACAAAAAGAAAAAGAAGCCCGACTCCATTGGATAATTTATTTCCGCCCTTGCATTTATACCTTGTGAGAGCATTTATATGATTCAATGCTATGTTAATGAGTTTCTTTTTTCTTATGTGATTGTCAATCCTTTTCAAGTTCACTGGTAGTTCCCGAATAGCAATAGTTCATTTGCTTATTATTAGTGTTATATCAGCATATAATTGAGTGACATTCTAAGGTTTTAGATATCTGATGGAAAGAAAGATACAGCTGCCGTAAGTGTGAAAAGAGGTGCCAAAGGACTGAAGGTAGGTAATCTTAATTTACCTCTCCTTTAGTTATAATTCTGTCTCAAATAATCCATGATAATTACTATTGTTTCTACGTCATAGATTAATCATACAGATGATGTGGAGTCTAATGAGCAAAAGCAAGGGAACTTTAAGAAACAAAAGGTATGGGTAAAGCACATAATATCCAATCTAAAATCAAATTGCTGACTTATCAATTATTCAATTTGATTTACTCTACCGCATGGACATATCTCTCTTATTGTTTAAGATCAGAAGATTATGTATATGTGCTTCTAATATGTTGATTGCTTGTCCTGTTTCTGTATTGTCTGTGCCAAATTATTTATTCCTTCAGTAGCTACTGCATTTTGCCAGTTGTCTATATTGTGTGCTGAGAAACTGCTCCACTCTCTGATCACCTAGACATTTAACCATTTGTTTCTGGACTTCTAAGATTATTACATGGAAAATTTGCAGATGGTTAGTTTTCATGAATATGTATAATTTCATCAAACAAGTTCTTTGCATAAAATTGAATATCTGAACAATATTTTGAGGGATAGTTTTTTTTTTTTCCCAGAAGTTATGCATTGTTATTACGATAATATTGGCCACAGCATTGACAATTCAATGAGACCTAAAAATTTTGGTTTTTCATTATGTTACTTTAACTCATTATAAGATTTGGGGGTTGAATAATTGACCAATCTTTCTAGAAGTTACAGGAGCGCTGTCCTGTCTGACTGACCTATTTCGTTTGTGCATTTCTATTTTTTCTAATTGTTCCATTAAGGGCATCAGGATGTTGTGAATGTTTGACATTAATTTCTATCCCTATCACTTGTATATTGATTCAGGAGCCCATCCCGTTTCAATATCACGTATCACATTACAACTTCTTTGCATTGAATTACTGTGAAGTTGGATTTATAATCAGCATATTTCTAATTCTTTCATTGCACCGAAAATTTCTGTAGTTGTCTACACCTAGTGAAGGAGGAGAGTTGGAGATAGCTTTCTCTGCTTCTGATATTAAGGAGAAGTACAAGGTACAGATGTACAGTCTTTAATGAATTTCTTTCTCTTCCATAATCACTTTTTAAGTGGATTGCATGTGATAAGAATCCTTTCGATGGTTTTATTATTTTTACTCTTTTATTCTCTGAATATATTTTTCTGATTTTTGAAAATAGCTCTCCATAAAAGAATATATTCTGATTTCAGGACACTATGCTGTTGCCTAAATGGAAGGCTTTCCAGACAATTATATTTCTTGAACGGGTGAGTATTTGTCATTTATCGATGGTAGTTTATTTTAAAGGGCGAGTATGCATTATTTATTAATGCTTTTTATATTGCTGGCTTTACCTTACGCATGAACAACAATGAACCTTACGGGTTGTGCTCTTTACACCCAAAATGCAGCAGATAATTATGATTTTTATTCTTTTTCTCTGGAGTATTTTTTGGTATGAATGCTTTCCATGACACTTCGAGGAATAGAACTTTCTATCAATCTGGCACCTAGTTCTTTTTATCTTCAATGCTAACAGGCTAACAGCGTTATCTTTTACTTCGTGATTTCTCAGTTATTATTTACACTGCCATTTTTTATTTATTTTTTACAAATTTCAAATTTTTTGGAAGGATGATGGTCTTCGTGATTCAAGTAAAATTGCAGCATTTGATTTTGATGGGTGTCTTGCGAAGACATCTGTTAAAAGGTATTACTTTTTACAATGTTAAAGGCACTCTCGTGTTAGCTTGAATTGCTTCTTAGTATTGCCATGATGTGCTGTTATTCTTCTAACCTCTGATGCTTGAACTCTTCAAAATGCTTGGAGTACCCATGTCAAATATGATACGACACGAGATGGATATGGGTATGAGATATGTGTCGGATCTTTCAAGTTTCAACTGGACAGTTTGCTTTTTCTGCTTCTTTTTCTTTTTTTCTGCTCGCTATAAACCTAACACAGCCTTTGAGAGGGTAAAAAAATGCGATGGCGCTAGTTTTTCCCTTCCTTTTCTTCTTCTTTTTATTTCTTTTTCTTTCCCTTTTCTTCTTCTCTCCTTCTTTCCCTCTCCATATATTGCTACTTTGTGCTCCACTAAATCTAAATTGCAGTCAAGTCTCTCATTTTCTATTTTATATAGCATTTAGTAATTAACTTTCCATAATTGAAAACTAAACCCCAAAATTTTATTCTATTTGTCTCCAACCCTTTATTCAATACTCATTTCCTTCTTTGTGAACAATTGATTTTGACTTATTCAAAATGAAATCTTGGTTCAGTAAAAAAATAAAAATAAAAATGAAGCTCGAAAGATTTACCCACATCCTTGTGTCCAAATTTTGGACTATTTTTAGCTATGTTCCCATGTCCTACATTTTAGAAAATAGAAGACCCGACACTTAGATACGTATCTATACCCTTTTCCCGAATCCGAACATCATGGCTTGTAGCTATTTTGTATCTGTAGTTCATCAAATTTTTTGATTGTAAAAACATATTTTTGGTGCACCAAAGCTATCTGTTGACCTACAGATAAAGATATGCTAATATCTGAACTTATTAGATATATTTAGCTTGTTGTCGAGCAATGAATTGTATGAAAGAATTTACTAATAATTTTATTTTATTTTTTTAAAATTTTTAGAGTAGGTGCAGATGCTTGGTCCGTCATGTATCCTTCCATACCAGAGAAGCTCAAGAGTTTATATAATGACGACTACAAGCTGGTTTCTTCACTTTCCTTTTGAGCTCCATGTGTCTTTTAGTATTTACAATAAAATCTAGTGGTATTAGCTTGGTCATTGAATGACACGATGACTGAAATACGCTGTCTTGTGTACTGTAACTTTTGTTCTCTTTCTCTCTCTTTAGATGCCATCTCAATTTTGTCATAATATAGGTCATCTTCACTAATGAATCCAATATTGAGCGCTGGAAGAATAAGAGACAGGCTGCTGTAGATTCAAAAATTGGACGACTTGAAAATTTCATTAAGCTCGTAGAAGTTCCCATTCAGGTTTGTTTGGCTTATTTGCACTAAATCTGCAGCTCTGTTCTTTATCTCTCGCATAAAAATATACCCTTTGCATTTATCTAAGTACATTATGTCAATCCTTTGTGGGAGATGACGTGTTCACCCGTGCTGTGTTGATGGAGGAAAAACTTTTGACTGTAAAAATTTGAAGTTTTATTAATTTTTTAAATATATGGGAGTAAATCTTTAGCGGTGTGGATGTTGGATAGCCTTCTGAGAAATCCTTTAAAACTCTTCTACTTGCCTTTCTTCTCTTCTTTTAGCATTGAATGCTACACTGTGTTACTTCCCTCGTCTTTGATGTACAAGCTAATTTATCTGCTGTATCTTGTATAGGGGAAAAAATTCTTGTCACGTTGAAAAAATTTCTTCATTCCTCAAAATCTCTGGTTGCCATGCCACTGCAATGTTGAGATTGTATGGGACAATGTCTAAACCTTCTGGAGTGTATATGACTGTCTTTGACATTAATATGGTCTCGTTTGAACTTTTCCTGACTTTGTTGCCTGTGTTAACATTGGTTCTCACTAGGGTTTTGTGAAAGATAAGCAGTAGTTAATCATCTGTGAGGAACAGTCGCTAGTATTTTTGAGGATCTAGTTATTTATGAAGATATATTGGCTGTATAATGGGAAATTGTGTTCTGACTTCCCCTGTGAATCAGAATAATTGTAATTCCAATTTTTTGTTTAATTTTGCTGCTCTGTTTGGAGAAATGAGTCGATTTTAATGAGGATGTTGCAAATTTCTGCAATATAGGATGAAGTAATCATTGCTTGTTTAACTGAACTCTAGTGGAAGAGGTCAGCTAACAATTTACTCCCAATATGCAGGTTTTCATTGCCTGTGGAGTCAATTCTGGGCAACTAGAGGATCCCTTTCGCAAACCGAAACCTGGCATGTGGAGAATTATGGAGAAACAGTTTAATTCTGGTCTCCCAATTGACATGGATAGGTTATTCTTCTTTTCAACTGGTTCACCGCATTGTCTCGTGTAGTATCCTGGTTATTTAATTGTGTTATTTCTTTTAGCTTAATGACACGAAACAGTTTAACCCATCAAATAGTTGAGGTAGTGGAATCCTTTTTTCTTCAATGTAGATCCTTTTATGTTGGTGATGCGGCTGGAAGACCCAATGATCACAGTGACGCTGACATAAAATTTGCACAGGTTTGTTACTATCATTATTTACAAAGAACTATACAGCGTTGGGCTCCAGTTTATAGTTTTTTCAATCTACTGCTCATGCTACAATTCTGTCTATGATTCAATTAGTGCTTTGGCTTAATCCTAATTTGGGAGCCCATATAATGAGGTGAAGACTAGTATTCCAAATACAATCTACTTGAATAGTCAAAACAAAAATCAAATGAAACTCGCCCTATAGTCATTTCTGCCTGCAGTTGACTCTCCGTTGTGCTTGCCGCATATTATGCATTTTTGAATCACTAGTTCATCTTTCTAGTGTAATTGCAACTCTTAATTGGTCAACTCTGCCCATTGTCATAGTTTCACAGCAAACTAATGGATAAATAAATGTCTTTGGCGAGTTTAAACTCAGTAGTTGATGAAATTTTGTATTCAATGGGTGATTGCAGGCTATTGGACTAAAATTTTATGTCCCGGAGGAGTTCTTCATGAGTTCAGCGTAGTTTCTGGTTTGTATTTTTCGGAATTGAATTCCAATACTTTGGCCATTGTATAGTGTTGATTGGCAGATGAAAACGGAGTGTGTTCCATGTATTGAAATTTACTGGGATACCTGTCTTGAACACAAATCATCTGACTTACTCTTTCCATCTTTTGTACTTATGTCTTGTGCTATGCTCAGTTGAGCCATGCATCTAGATGAGTGGATCTTCTCTTCCATCGTTGTGGGTGAATTTACAGCAAAGTTCAGCAATTTCACAATTTATACACACGCACAAATAGTCTCAATGCCTGTTGCCTTAACGGTTAATGAGTTCCTAGAAACGAGCAAGGACTAGAAATCTACAGAGCAGGCTGGAAGGCCGATCATATGGAACTTTTACTACACGTTGGAAACAGTAAAGCAAGCATGGATACATACTGTTGGAACCGGTACTTCAAGAAATGGATGGTGATGGCAAAAGTGTGACAAAAAGGACTCGCATTTTTCATTAACAAATATGAGGAAAAAACTAACATTTCAATTTGGAGTTAGAAGACATCTTAAAAGCCATCTTATGTTTCCACTCATTATAAGAAGGGTTCCAAGTAAATCTATGCATCGATCCTTGGCTTAGACAAAGTTGCCATGGGACTTGTATATTCAAAGCTTAGTGTAGTGTGTGAGAAGATGACAGGGATTTTTGACCAGTTGATACAGATAAGGTGCCAATTCACAATCATCATATCATACACAAGCGAAGGTTTACTTTCTTTCTACCAATCTCACCTTCCTCTATCACATGTCCTGTCAAAAAAAAATCTCGTCCACAAGATTTCTGTATGTGAAGAGTCTTACAGCTGCTTGTAAGAACGAGTCCGGAGGAATCTTGCTCTTCTTCACCTTCTTCCTATATGGACATGGCCAAACGATCTATATTATTTTCGACTCTGTGTATGTCATGCAATTGTAATTTTGTCACTAATGAACTACGAATACATCATGTATTGAAGTAGTAAGCATGAAAAGACAATGAGATACAAAAATAGTAAGCAAGAAGAAAGTTCATGTTTGAACTTCATGGAATATTTGTACGCTGATTTGGGATGAATTTGTCTCAACAATTTAGGTCCACAAAA